CTGAAATGGCGAGCATGTTTGGTGGGACGGGGATTCGAACCCGCGACCCTCAAATTGCGAGTCGAGCGCCCCCTAACCACCTGGCCATGCAGGGCCTAGACTTGGAGGAAAATGAATTGCACGAAGTCGTAAGTTTGTTTGTTTGTAGTTAAGCGCAAAGCTACACAATGGGCTACCTGTGCTCTGCCCACCACACGAAGTAATAAATTTAAGTATTCCATCTAATTTTTCTGAATAGTAGTTTTCTTTCTAGAGTTCAGTTAGTTATCACTGTGTCGCAAGGCCGCTTTTTGTTTTACATGAGCGTTGTATGGCCTAATGTATGTTTGTTCGTCTGTAGAATGTAACTGTACGACACACGGAACTGCAGCGTGTACAAGAATTCACAGCATAGCCAAGTGCACTTGTTTCCCAGGGTTTACTGGAGACTGGTGTGAGTATTGCGTTCATGGATACTTCCGCGATAAAAAGAGGTGCAGAAAATGTCCTTGTACCAATGCCACTTCATCAGGAGAGTGTATTACAGGTAGGAGATTTCTTGTAAAAAGTCCAGTACTAATAAACTTTAAACAAGTATTTTACGTTTAGACTATTTTGAACATAAATAATATTTTCCAATCACTTTGGTAATCTTTTACCGAGACAATTCGATTGTGTATTAATGCGCAAAGAATACACTGTACTATGATTCATCGTTACTCACAACGAGCACGTATAATACGCTGTTTTGTTTTGGATTAAAAAAAAATTGAAATGGCATCATTTTAAAATACGGTTTACTTTATTATTACAGCTTTAATCTTATTAACAACTAAAAATAACAAGGAAAGTATTTCTAGCCGCGGCTCATAGTTTCCTATCTCGATCGATTTGAGATCTCATTACAGCCGCGGCCATTGAGGATTCCCTCTTGTTATAAAGCCATTTCCCTCCTTTTTTTTAACATACGTCATAGTTACTCGATATTTTTAAGCATTGCAATAAAGACGGATGGTTTTTCAATCGCTGTGTATGCCAATTTATTAAACTATAAATAAAGTGAGGTTTTCATTTCAGGATTCGGTATAGGGTTGTTAAGTTTACTAACTACGATATTTTTCTCAGGCGAACTGGAAGAGATCAAATGTAAGATGTGCCTTCCCGGACATCGTGGGCGCTTATGTTCCTCGTGTACGGCAGGGTACCGTTGGAATAACGACAGCTGTGTTCCTTCCAACTGTTTCAGTTTTCCGCTTTGCATGAAGAACAAGGACCATCCAGGGTGTAGTGATTGTGTCTTTTTGACGGACAGACTACCCCCATCTACAGGTCACAACAATTCAGGTAAAATATGTAAAATGTTTACTTGGTAAACAGGGTGTGTACACCCACTCGTGAATAACTGACAATAAACTGTTGTCACCTACTCGTGAATAACTGACAATAAGCTGTTGTCACCCACTCGTGAATAACTGACACGTTATGACTTTGTACACCTAGTAGTGAATAACTGACACATGCACTGTTTTAAACTACTAATGCATAAATAATCCTTTTTTAACCAGCTAATGGATAACTGATTACACTTAGTTATTTTGAAAACAAACTTATTACCTTTCATTAACGTTACCGGTTAACATAGTATTTAATAGTATTCAGGTAAATATATCAACATGGTAGATTGACGTATGAGTATATGGTCTAAACAACCATGTCAGAGGCTTCCACTGACCGAAGTGACAGCAGCATTCATCACCACAAGAGCCTTTAACTGAATAACTACAGCTAAAGAGTGGAGAGTGTTCAGTAGCATCATGTCACAACGCTAACAATTGAGTATATGGTCTAAACAACCATGTCAGAGACTTCCACTGACCGAAGTGACAGCAGCATTCATCACCACAAGAGCCTTTAACTGAATAACTACAGCTAATAGAGTGGAGAGTGTTCGGTAGCATCATGTCACAACGCTAACAATTGAGGTTGTGGCAGCAACAAAACAAGATGGGTGAAAACTTTTAATAGATTCATTAGTTGATAAACAACAGCACAACTTAAACGATCAAAACTGCTTATCTTCCCCACCAGATTTGTACCAAAGTTCTCTTTAACATTTTTATTAGAAATTTTGATTTAGCTTACGGAACTTAATTATAAAGTTAAAATTCCATTTTTACATGAATACATTATCTAACGATCAGCATTAGTTATGCTTGTTAGATTTCCAGACTAACACTAAACTCTCTGTTTATTGTTATAGTGAATTATATAGTATTTATCTATTGTCTTTAATGATTGATTTCAGAAGGAACAGCTGCTGATGGAACAGTACCATTGATTGGTGTCATAGTAATTCTTGGGATAATCCTGTTAACTGCAGTAGGTGCCACGGGTTACCACTCGTGGTCACAGCCTCACCTTCATATGAGGGACAAGGAACAGGCCAATGACAAGAAAACACTGGATAACAACTTCATCACGAGTAACAAACACGTAAGCATTCAACAAACAGCGTCAGCCCACGAAATGTTCAAGAAACCGAGTCTGGTAAATGTATGATCTTTAAGATGAAAGGAAAAACACCTCTTAAAGCCTGTCCCCACCACAAGGAGCAGACACATATCTGCTCAAAGAATAGCTTTATATCTTTATTTTTGCACAAATATTTTAAGACTACAGTACTATAAGGCTCAGCAAAACAATGTTTAACTGATCAACATATTCAACTACCTAAAAGCCAGTTTCAACTTGCACAAAAATGCATATTTTAATAACAGGATTTTTTTTTCTATTGAGCCTTCTAAAGCTTAATTTCATTTTACTTTGCAGGTAGAACAAACAAAAAATGAACAAGATTTTAAGGACTTTAGATTAAAAAAAAATGTTTCTCTTTCTCAACAGTTTATGGAGTGGGACTTTATTTTTCCTGATAAGTAAACCACAAGGGCTACACTACATTACATTTTTCTCAAGATTTCCATGGGTCACCCTAAGCCTTTTGTCAAATTATATTCATGCTACCACAAAGAAATATATCAATTGTCCAAAATATGATCCACTCTTCAATACAGCCATAGAAATATTAAAAAAAGATTTAGTACTACATAAAAACACTAATAACTGATAGAGATTTGTTTGTTCGTTATTAACCACAAAGGCTATCTGTGCTTTGCCCATCGTGGGTATCGAAACCTGGTTTCTAGCAGTATACGTATCATAACTTTGGGACTTTAAACGAAGTCTTGTTAGTATTACCTAATTTAAAAACAAAGTAAATATGTATTAGCTTTTTTCCTCAGTTTTTATTTTCTATTGATATTTTAAATCTCGTATGAGAACTTGGTAACAAGTTATTGTAAGGAAAGACGTTAAAACTTGTTTATAATTTGGAAGTGATAATGGTATGTTAAAAGATTTGTAAAACGATGGTAACAGGAGTTATTTCATACCTCCAGGATATAAATGATTTAATAGTCATGCTTTCTAAGTGTATAGTAACACTATATAAGAGATGACCTAGGTTCTTTATTTAACTGGAACTCCATAGGTACAGTTCTTTTTGATTAAATAATATGGCTTGATTCAAATTGTGTACAAATAAAGAACTCGTATCCTAGTTTAAAGAACAGATATACAGTTTTATGTAGAAACCCAACAGACAGTACCAGAATAAACATATTTTATAAGAAAAACCGCTGACGACCTTTATTTAGATTCAAATGAATCTAGATTTTTTTTGACAGTTACACAACTGGTACATAAAAAAAACACAACTCATAATGAACATTAGTGTAATTTTTACACAATTTACAAAGTGTACGACAAACAGGTAATAAAATTGGGAGTGAATTAACTCTTTCTTACATGATAAAACTATAGGTGAAAGGTTAAAACATCCAGATGTATAATGGTGATGTTACAGAAAGAAGAAAGGGTCTTGGATCAGCTTATCGTCCTTCAACTATAAAAGTAACAAAACACATTGTTAATTATTTATAGATACCAGAAAACAGTGTAAAAAACATTATCACACCAACAAAACTGAAAGTCTGTACTTAAAAAAACAACGAACGATAAAAACTGCATTCTCATCTAATGCAAATCCACTTTTCAAAGTGCTATAAGTAAAACAGATTCCCACGATAATCTCATAATGATTTTATATATATATTAAATCAGGGATGCGACTGTAGACCGTGTAATTGTAAAAAAAACCTTGCATCAATAACAGTAAACCTTAAATCTAGAAATATTAGCAGCAGAATCTAATAACAAACATGATTACAAAATTACTACTCCAGGTCTATCATAACTTAGTGCTAAAAACAATTAGTATACCTAAAGCCTTTCAAAAACATCTAGGCCTTACTGGAATTTAGCTTCCAGGCAGGGATGGACTACAGTTTCATGGCTACTCCCCCCATAAAACTACTTTATTATAACTTGACAACTGTTTTAAAGAAACACCAGAGAGATAAAGAGCTCCCGTTCTAATTAAACTTCCAGCAATAAAACGTGTCATTGTGTTTAAATAAAGTATTAGTAGTTTGTTTTACATTTATCTTTAAGCAAACATACAAAACAACTTCTTTTCAGTGTACAAATACATTAAAAACTTTAACTTCACCAACTTAGTTTAATGGTCTAAAGAAATAATCTTGGGGGCAAGTTTTTTTTTACATGGATTTTGCGCAAAGCTACACGAGGGCTATCTGCACTAGCCGTCCCTAATTTAGCAGTGTAAGACTAGAGGGAAGGCAACTAGTCATCACCACCCAACACCAATCCTGGGCTACTCTTTTACCAACAAATAGTGGGATTGACCATCACATTATAACACCCCCACGGCTGAAAGGGATTCGAACTTGCAGATAGCGAGTCAAGCAGCCTAACCACCTGCCCAAGAGAAACAAACATTTCTGATTTATCCAACTTCTCTCACATTAAATCTTAATTTCTTCAAGTCAAGGTTTTATTTTAAAGGAATACTCACTGTATGAAGAAATGTCAATTTCATTTGGCAATTCAGAGATATTCACATCAAATCTATCCTGTACATCATTCAGTATCTTGGCATCCTCCTCATCAGATACAAAGGTAATGGCTAAACCTTTAGTACCAAACCTTCCTGCACGTGCAACCTTTTTTTATTGAAAGAAAGTAATAAAGCCTAAGAATTCATTGAAACTTTATTAGAGAGTAATATTCTACACGTGTAATTTATTCATACTTGTACAACTTTATTTGACTTACAATGTGTCATTCAATACGGAGTTATCAACGTTCCGTGTTAGCCTATGTTCCAACAGTTAAAATAGAGAAAATACCAGATACAATACACAGGGTTGCTAAAAAAAAAAACAACTACATATGCATTTAGGATAATCTAGAGGTAGTTTAAATGCAAACTGGACAATGAGGAAAAAAAAAGTATTTTTATTCTTCACATGAACAACACTTTGCACTATGACTTTTCAAAGACTGAGTCAGCCTGACTTTGGCATTTCACTTACGTATATTTAGTAAAAACAACTTCAGTAACATATCAGATTTTTTTTATTTATAAACTAGACTTATTCTGTTGACCAACAACTTTCCACATTTTGTGAAGATAAACTTTATAAATTTGAAATTATAGTCATTATTACTTCTACAGTACGTGGTTGGTCTAATTAGACAACCCTGTGCACATTCAGTTAACTAACTAGATAAACAGTTATCAAAAAAATGATTTAATATACTGTAAGCTTTTTTGTAGAACTACTGAATTACAGTCTTAATTTATATAATTTATACAAAAACATTTTTCTGTCACGGTGTTTTATAAAGGTTAAAAAAGAAGCAAAAACAAACGTTTTAAAATGACAAGACCAAACATAAACCCAGGTCAGCACTTACTCTATGAAGGTATGTATCAGAGTTTTCTGGCATGTCATAATTGAAAACAATATTGACACGTTCAATATCCATGCCACGGCCAAAAAGATTAGTTGCAACCAAGATTCGTTTCTGGAAGTCCTTAAATTGCTGATATCGGGATAACCTACACAAATTTATATTTTATTAAAAAACATATAATAGATAAAACTGACTTTTTAAAAACCACTACATTAAAATTAGAGATAGACAACAAAATACTTTAGTTTAGGTAAATGTAAAACCAGTGGAAAAACACTGATTTCTTTATATATATTGGTAATAAAAATACCTTTTGATCTATACATAATATAACTGACATTTAAGTTTCCCACCAAACAATAGCAGATTTTTTTCTTCTTAATGAGGCTGGCACAAGAATCATCTGTAAACAGCACAAGTGTTATTTTCCAGCTGTATGCTTTACCGTAGAATGCCGATTCTGTCTGATAGAGAATCTTTTTGCTCAGGCAGGGAGTAGCCGGTGACCAGAAGCAATTTTTTGACATTAATTTTTGTCCTCAAGAATCTGCTGCACCTCTGGTCGTGCCAGCCCCGCTTCTCAATAACCACTAAAATGTGTTTTTTTTTGGCCTTGCATGCTTAAAATGTTGTAGGGTCTGGATGCACGGGCTGTTATTAACTTTACCTTTCTTCCTGAGTCATAGCTCTGTGAATAGCAATCGCAGGAAAGTTTTGCTCAACTAATAACTGGGCCAGAGCCATACACCTCTGTACCGATCTCACAAAGATTACAACCTAAAGGAAAGTAAAAAAAATTAACTATTAATATACTCTGTTTAAAGAATGGTCTTACGTTATGTATAACATTTTAAAATCTTTGTGTGCACTTGAAAAAAAAAAATTAATACCATGTTTTATTTCTTTCAGATGTTTCTTTTAATGTGATTTGTAAAACATTTACAGTTTCTTGTGTACTTGTAAACAATGTATATAAGGCACATTTTAAGACTGTCCTTGCAGGACATACAGTTGTTTTAAGAATGTGATGCATACCATTCATCAACACCATGTTATTTCTAGTTTACATTATTTCTGGACTCCCACCCTTGGTTAAAAACAATATTTCAAGGACACTTCAACACCCTCCATATATAACCATCTTCATGCCTTTTCAGTTTTAATTTTATGTAATTAACCACATTTTAATGAAGTTAGTCGTTCAATGATTAACTGTTATTGAATCAATCGTACATTTCATAAAGTCACAGCTTTTTTAAGCCAGTAACTTAACTTTATAAATTTTCAGCTTTCCAGGAACCCTGCATTTTAGAAATTCTAATAAGCAGACCCAAATTGTAAGACAAATTTGAAAGTTAAAATTGTCTGTAATATATTAAAAGCTATAAGGTAGAAATATACAAAATTTCGCTTCAAGTAAATTCAAGAATACGGTATTTACAACAATCGGACAGGTTACTATAACATTCTTTTATGAACTAAAATTGTAAACACCATACCTGGTTGAACTCGAGCACATCCAGTAACTCAAATAATTTACGGTTTTTCTCGTTGTCTTTCAACTTAACATAATGTTGTTGTAGACCGTGGAGTGTCAGTTTAGCCTCATCATCAACATAAACTTCCATTGGCTGTACAAAAACATCACATGAACGACAGGAACAAAATAACATGGAATACTTTAAAGACTGAGGTAACTTCTAAAAGTACTTTACACGATTGGAAACTTCACAAAAACTAAATAAAACTAGACATCACAGGCACACAAAACACGACATTATGAAAAGACAATTATAACTGACAAACTATGATGAAGGAAGAGATAATTATTAAAAGTTATAGGATAAAACACCTCTGAATTATTTAATGCTAATTTTTAATACCAGATCTTCTGTAGTTGTTACGAATGTCAAAAATATGGTTTTAAGCTACAGCTATTAACACCAGTTCTTTACCAGTAGTTATAATTGTTTAAAATATGGTTTTAAGCTACAGCTATTAACACCAGTTCTTTACCAGAAGTTATGATTGTTTAAAAGATGGTTTTAAGCTACAGCTATTAACACCAGTTCTTTACCACTAGTTATAATTGTTTAAAAGATGGTTTTAAGCTACAGCTATTAACACCAGTTCTTTACCAGTAGTTGTAATTGTTTAAAAAATGGTTTCAAGTTACAGCTATTAACAACAGTAGTTATAATTGTTTAAAAGATGGTTTTAAGCTACAACTATTAACACCAGTTCTCTACCAGTAGTTATAATTGTTTAAAAGATAGTTTAATGCAACAACTATTAACACCAGTTCTTTACCAGTAGTTATAATTGTTTAAAAGATAGTTTAATGCAACAACTATTAACACAAAATCTTTAGTAAAGTTCTTTATCAATAGTAAGATATAATTTAACCTTTTCTGACTTGGAGGGGTGTCACCGATAACCATCAGTTGTTTCCTTTTCACAATGGAAGTACTTAACCAAATCACATAATACTTCATATAATCTTACCAAATATCTAGTTTCAGCTTATAAATATTTCATTAAATTGGATTTTTTAAAATCATATTCCTATATCATAAAATTTCCAAAATCTTGTCATGAAACATCTTATGTACAGTCAATTTCAATTATTTATTCTGATAATTTTGCCAATTAAAGCAGCCATTAATCTTGGCTATAATTTATACATGAACACCGCATAAACTGACGAAGATTTACTGGTGACCCAAGACCTGACCTTTCAGAATGGCATCAGGTCAAGCTAGGTAACAATTTTAATAGTAAATTGACCAATAACAATTTTTTATTGTAATAATCTATGCTTCTGTACACACAAGTAAAAATATTTTTAATAATATTCTTAGTTGAAATAAATTTACATCTACTAATTATGCTTTCTAGTCAATAAACTTTTGAGTACTTTTATTTATACTCATAAATTTAACAGTAATATTCCACAAATATGGATCGTAATCATCAAAATATTTTGTCATTTCTTACTTATACTCTCTAATGTATTGTCACAGAATAAAAGTTCGATAGCTTTTAAACAGATACAACTTAATGCAAAAATATTTTAAAGAAAGAACATCTAAAAAAAAAAAATATATCTGTGGTTTGTTTTCATTATGTCTTCTAAACTTTCCATTAGATTGTTCTTCTTTTCTACCTAAGCCAGGCCTTGTTACTTTCCTAATAAGTTACTTCTCACACCACTTTATTTACTTTACATGGACTTAAATAGGTTATAATCTGCTCTATCCAAAGGCATTTAAACTTTGTCCGCGAGGTCATGAAAGGGGTAAGAACAGACGATTACTAATAAAATCAAAGAGAAGGAAAACTGTGCGAGAAACAAAACTTTGAGAACTATATTCTCAAAGGTTGATAGTTTCTTAGTAAATAAAAACCTATACTTTGGGATGGGCAGAAAAACTCTAAAAAAAAAAATTGACAGGTGAGACTATGAAACTGTGCAGGAAATGTAAAAATATATTTATTAAACTAAATGTTCCAAAATGACAAAATATTTATTATATAAAAAAAATTTAAACTGGGGTTAGAATAATTATTTTTACTTTTGAAGACGTCAACTCACATGAAGGTGTATATACTTGACACCTAATAGGTGCTCGCTGGTTCAGTAAGGGTTAATAATTTAATGTTTAAATTCATAGTCAAAAATGTTTGCTTCCCAAATAAATCTCTCCTGAGCATTTTTGAGCCTAATATTAACTGTCTTTTTCTAACTTCAAGCCTTCAGTATTGCTATCAGTTAGTTAGAAAGTTAAATATTGTGTACTTTTGCTTGAACTAATTCCAAAACAAGACAAACATATATGTTAACTTGCATTAGATAATGATTTTTTCTTAAATAATTTTATTTTTAATGAAATGAAGATTAAAAAAAACCTGAGTGACAGTATATTTGGTAGATACTATTTGAATAATTGGTTTGTTTTGAATTTCGTGCAAAGCTACACGAGGGCTATCTGCACTAGCCGTCCCTAATTTAGCAGTTTAAGACTAGAGGGAAGGCAGCTAGTCATCACCACCCACCACCAACTCTTGGGCTACTTTTTTACCAACAAGTAGTGGGATTGACCATCACATTATAATGCCCCCATGGCTGAAAGGGTGAGCACGTTTGGTGAGACGGGGATTCAAACCCATAATCCTCAGATTGTGAGTTGAGGGCCCTAACCAGCTGGCCATGCCGGGCCTACTATTTTAATAAAATGATACTGATAGAACAACCAAGTTTTCCTTAGAAAATCACTGACTGATAGCCTTGGTTTTTATTTTAAATTCCTAACAGACCTGAGTTGAAGTCGCTTTCATAAAGATACTAAAAGTTCTTTTTGGCTTATACAGTAAATAAAATTACCATAAAATATTTACAATTTCATTTCAAAACATTAATGAGAATATGAAAAACAAGAATACTGCCTAATTGAATTTTATTTGCAAATGTTTTCAAAAAGTTGTAAATGTATTATTTCTAGTTTATGATTAACAGATGAAACGAGGTTAGATCCCATAAAAAGTGCATTAAGCTGAGTTGATTGAAAATACATGTTTACCCATACTTAAACTAAAGAGAATCATCCACAGTAGTGGAAGAAAACCCATTTAAAGTACCACAAGATGTCTAGAATGCATCTAATTTATTTACTTTTTACACTACGAGCTCTTCACATGTTTTGTAATTATCTTTTCTTGCTATTTGCAGTTTTTTTAAACTCGCTAAGAACACGACAAAAATTTACAATATCCTACTTATAAACGTACAAGTAAAACAATAATAATTTTTACATAAATTTTGTCAAAAACTTGTGGCAAAAATAACTGAGTGTAGTAATAAAAAAAAAAGAAAGAATATAAATATATATAACTTAATGGATAAATATTTCAATAATTATCAATTACAATTGTTGTTAATAGGTGCACTATTGAACAATAGAGAGTTTATAATCATTTAATGCATCTAATTTCACTCCCAGTCAGTCAATAGTCTTAAATAGATATATGTAAGTATAGGATCTCCCAATAGAATATCTATACATAAAATAAAATCTTAATACTACCATTTTTTTTCTCTATTAAACAAATTACCTTAACCAATAAGCAGCAAAAACTTTTCACTAAACGTTCACAGATTATGTTACTTATATTATATTTGCTACTACACAAACATTACAAACTGTAAACCTAAACTTATGCGTAATCAGTCAAAGCAATAGGTTTAACGTTTCTCAGACACCGTGTGAAACTAGGAAAACAAATTTATGTTCAAAATATATATAACACTCTAAGACAGCATTTCTCAAATTGGGGTCCACGAGTCATGTCTGAAATTTCACAATCAAATATGATTTAAAGTTATACGAATTAAAACATTTAATTTTGGAATACAGCTTTTCATGTACACGGATTTGATAGGTTTGTAGGTCTGTGAAAAACTTAAATTAAAAAGGAGCCCTGGGGTTACTAAAGTTTGAGATCTG